AAAAAAAAGGATGGGGTCTCTGGGACACCCTTTCACATGATTTCTCCCTTTTCCAATTATTCTGTTGACTAATGTAGAATTTTGCTGGCAGTTTATGGTCCTTTGTGAGACATCCGGCAAAGTATAGTTGGTCAGAGTCTGTAGCACAGTCAAAGTGATTCTCACACAAGGAGCTCTGTAAGTTGGTTGATGGAATGTAATGCAGCTTGTGGACTAACATGACTGATATGCGATTTGCTTTAATTTAACAACTGTGTCCAGTAACTTATTGTTAATGCATTATTGCCTCTTGCTTCCTGTAGTTTTTAAAAGTTTACAAATAGCAGAACTAGTGAATGATTTAAGTAATTTTATACATAGAATATTATTGAAAAATAAATAACTTTTTCAAATGTTTTCCACCTTTTCTTCCAGATGGCTTGTGGGGCGTAGCAACAAATCCCAATCTACTCGTCTCTTGGACCAAACTGATGACATGGATGAGTTGGATCCAGTTGTAGGTATTACTGGTTTCTCCCCGAAAGCCAAACTAAACACTGACACAGATCAGATTACCATCTTGTAACAGACTTTTGTGAGAGAAATCTCTTCCTCTTGTGGTCTTCATTAGTGTAGTGTAGTTATAGATAAAATATTTGTGTCATAAACTTGAAAGTCATGAGAAGACTCTTTTTATTAAATGAACTATGTGATAGCCTTTGCTCGGCCTTAAATCAGAGAAATACTTATTATGTTGAGACTTACAGGTAACCTAGTTACCCTAGACTTAAGCCCCCATTCAAATGTGATTTAGGGCCACTATAATTGTGCAAATATTTACATCTCTTCCTTGCTTTACTATTTAAGTATTTTGACTTCATTGACAGATTATTTGTAAACAATTCCAACCTGTCACATTAGAATTCTTACAGTGATTGTTTTATAATCTTAATTTTACATGACTTACTTTGTTGTTGTTTTCAGTTTGATCACCTGCCTTGTAACTCTATTTTTAGCAGGTATACATTTCACATCTTTGTATTCTTGCTATTTGTGTGGGAGATGCTGCCTTTAACTTTTTCCCTTACTAAAACTCTTAGCCCTTCCACAACTATATCTTTTATTCTATAACAGATCATAATGCTTCAGTGAAGCAGTTTGCTGTGCTTAATATTATCTTATAAATGTTATGTAATTTTGTACGGCTCTGAAAATATATTTTATGTTTTTAATTGGTTTTCTTCTTTTTAGAAACGAAACAATGCACTATTTATGGATTTTGCTGCATTCCAAGTTTTATTTTTCACGTCAACTCTCTTTTGTTTCCTTTTACAAGACCCATTTCATAACATATTACTTAAAACACTGACAAGACAAAATGAAAAGAGTGACGCTTTTAATAAAAAAAATTAACAAGAAGCAATATCAACAACACAATACAAAGACAATACAAGTTAACGACAAAGTACATAAAAATAAACAAGCAATAATTTGATTTTTGAGTCAAAGTCCTAGAAATTTTAAAAATAAAATTACAAAATCAGTTCAACATAAATACTCAATACAAAAGTAACAGGTTTCTTCAACATACGTCAGTCATCAGTGTGTGTTCAAGGAGTTACTATCACGGAATAACATTAATACTGAGAAACTTTTCTATGGAATGATCTGGTATGGCATATAAATTTTTTAAGTCTTTCAGAATCTATTACACATTATCTGTGTAATAAATGTTAACTAGATAACTGTTTCTGAGATCCTCAATCAAGTGAACATTGGAGGAATCTGGTCTGAAATTAAGTACACACATCACAATTTGCACAGTATCACAATGCAATGATAGCCCAGAACAAATGTCAATATTATAAAATACCTTAAAATTAACAAATAGGTTCAATTTTTCCACCCGCCATTGTAAAATCTACATAATAGAAGAGAGCTCATTGTAAGGAAATAATAAATACAAAAGTATTGATTTTGTGTTTTTTTCCTAGTTTGATTTGATCATAAGTGCTACTTTTGAGTAGAATGTTCATAATCGATAGTGTGAAGACTCAGAACATAAATTAAATTCAGACAGTTAAGCCAAAAATACCTATTTCCTTTTTCAAAAAGTAAATGAATTTAAGCTCTTGGTCGAGCATTTTTGATTTCAAATAATTTTCTTACAAAAAAGACCTGAAGTGTTGATGTTGCAATTATGATTATTATCTGTACTAAGGACCAATTCATAACATAAGAATGATTGTCTTCTAGAAGGTTAAAGTCTCGAGCCTCTCTTCCTCTGCTGTGATGTTGGTATTGCAGCATCTCATTAATATTCCTCTCAACTGAAATAATTGATTCCTGGAATGATAGTAGAGACATTAGTCACAGTATTGCACACCCCAAAAGGTTATTAACACAATATGTTGTGCTAAGACAAGGGGGAGGTATTGCATCCTTTGATTTGTATGTTGGTGTAGCTACACCAAAGTCAACTTCTGAATTTTAGTCAACAAACTAACTTCAATAGCTTAAATAACCTACCGTAAAGTTTTCTACACTAAGATTGAGGTCTTCCAGCTCCTTAGTGTACTTGTCCCATTGGTCGTACCTGTAAGGCAGAGGAATCGATGATATCAGCTGACATACAACAACAAAATTGTTCCATATTCTAGAGATAGTGATCATATTACGCTTACCTAATGACAGTGATATAAAGATTCACTAGCTTGGCAGCAAATCTAGAGAACTGATTATCTATGCAAACACTGTAATAGCCTCCAGTTGATTGCTGATCTTGGTAATCAGAATTAGGACGCCATTGATAAGGGTGAACTATCTGTCCATTGGGATGACGAACAGCGAAACCAGCATTTCCATCACCTCCTCTTAATACCTTAAGAAAACAAAAACAAAATTGTTTGTTGAAAAACTGGATTTGTGTGCAATTTGATTCAGTCTGTTCAGTAAGATATGTGCAACAGGTACCCAAAGGCAGAAGGGTGGAAAACATGAGCATGAAGTGTGAAAGTACCTATTAACTGTTGAAAAGCACACGAACAGCAATTGTCAACTTTGTGAGTATAAAAATTGAAAACTACTTAACAATCAAAATTTAGAAATATGAAAACTATATCAAACAACACAGTTAAAATTGTGTATGTTTGACTTTAGCGTTATAGTACACCAAGTACACTCATCATATGGGTAAATAAAATAAATTCGGCCAATACTGACTGATATAGTAACGCATCGAAACATTGATAACACGCGACAGATTCTTTGACTGAAGAAAACATCTGTCAGTTTTCTCACCTGAAAGCTGACATAAAAGGTGGCACCGGGGTTCACATATTGGAAGTAGCAGTCCTCCTTCCCGGGATCAATGTGGACTTTATAATCCATAGCCACGGCAGGCAAAGATTCGTACCATGGTACTGCCGCCTCTTGAGGAAGTGAATATGTACAAATATTTAAAAACACGAGAAATGACAAGACAGACGTGGCAAGTGTCGGCGCCATGTTCGTCAATGTTTGTGTTTAAGCAGCAGAAAGCCTCTGCCGCTAGTGCGCAGTCAGGCAGACAGAATTCCGACGCGGAAACAGGAAACAGCTGAGGTACATCGGCGGAAGTGTGTACGTAGCGCGCTACATGGCAGGGACTTGAATTTGACCAGTGGCACTATCACAGCAATGAAGAAAAAAAAACAATGAGTAAAATATATCCTCAGGTTTTATTCCGTGATTTTGCAATATCTCATACTTAACACTTTTCCTACGTACATAAAAATTAAAACTGATGACAGCGTCTTTACAAAGCTTTGTTGTGTACAAATTAATTTCTATCTCAATTTCATTCCTTGGCTATTTTATGTAAACCATTTGCCAATTCTAATATTTCTTCGACATATTCACAGTACATTTTATACGAATCATTGATTTCTTCTTCACCAAAGTATGCACCTGCAATGGCACCAGCCATAGATGCAATGGTGTCAGTGTCTCCACCAAGTGAAATAGCATAATGGATAGTGCGTCGAAATTTGTTATCAGTCTGAAAAGGTGAGAAAACATATACATATATATTTGTAGTTTTTAAGAGGAGGTTATCAATCAAAATCAAACCAAAAATTGTTACAGAACAACAAAAGTATACAACTACACAAGCAGGTTTAATACATGCTTTCCTTAACAAGTTATACCATAAGTAAAGATGGATTTATGAAGTTTGTTCATTTTGTTAGTAGCTAATGAGACTATAACTGATTAGTGCATTCAGAAATGACCAAGGCTCTTTTACATAGACAAAACTTGCCAGTATAGTTTCAGGAATGATTTTTAAAGCCTGAGCACAAAAAATAACCAAAGTGCATGAATAAAATGTAGTATCTATTTTGGGTTTCTGTAAGGCATTACTCTAAAAGCGTAAAGCAGTAACAACTCTACAAAATGCAGTTACTTACCTCAATATCAGGAATTGGTTTTTGGGCACGTAAAAAGCTGTATATAGCAGTGGGGACGGAAAATAGAGCATCCACACTGGTTCCTAAGGACTCTTGAACTTGGTGGGCACTTGCACCTCCTTCCTTTGCCAATAGTTTTTTTATTAGTTGAAGCTGAGTATTGTAGGGTCTTCTGCCATCAATCCTGAACAGGGAGACAAGGTTGTTTCACTCCTCAAAAATAGCATTACAGTTGCATATGAGATCAACAAATAATCTTACTGATCTGGCTCTTCGATAGCTTCCATTTTAGTAATAAGTTCATCTGCAAACTTTTGAACATCTAAGGGCTCACCCCTGGGATCAAGAGTCAAACCCTGATGGATAGCAAGACACTGGAGGAAAAAAAAAACACATAGTATGAAGTGTAAATGAAAAACTATACTGAAGCTATGTGATAAAGGCTTTATTACATACCTGCAATATTGCCCCATTTATACCTAATGGGTGTGTGTGAGTGATTTGAGTAACACGTTTTGCAACGTGAATCATGCGGTTGTAGTCTCCAAAGCAAAACAATGGAACAGGAGATACCCGCATTGCCCCTCCATTACCATATGAACCAGTACCATTAAATTGTTCAGAAGCTGGCTTCATGGGATCAGCACATTGTTGGTCTCGTAGTTTACGAAAAACTTCAGTAACATGTCCTCCGTAACCTCTCTCTGTAGTGTCTGTATAAAAGTCAGTTACAAACCTGAAAATTTTAACAGGAATCAAACTGTTATATAAGAGAGGAACAATAAGAGATATGTAGTGCACTTCAGCAAACATCGAACAATATTTACCTCTTGGCTATATCTCTTTCATCAAGACTTGCACGATCAACGAACGACTGAGCAATACATTTTGTCATTGCAGTATCATCGGTGTAAGCATACTTTGGAGCTGAGAGGAGAGCAAATGACAAACAATGTAGAGACTAAAAACCGCCAACAAAAACAGAAGGGCCTGAAGTGGTTAGGTTAACAAAAAACCAAGACAAACCATAAAAATGGCATTTACTTTTAAATGGTGGTCCTTCCAGTTTTGCAAAAAATTTGTTAAGAACCACCGGAGACGGCCCGTTTTCATCTTCAAATTCAAAAGGAGCACCAAAACAATCCCCAAATAAAGCGCCGGCCAAACAGCCCCGAAATTTGCTAATCAATGACACTCCGGAAGAACTCATTGACAGTGCCATTTTTGCTGTAAAATTTGAATTTCACTAACTCAATACCGAAAATTTATCGTTGTTTTCTTCTTTAGATTTAATATTATTAGATTTTTACAAGCTATTTGCTAGGAAACCGCTGCAACGCTCCCCGCGAGATGACAGACGACGGGAGTGTTTATTCGCAGTTATTATTTGCGATTGCGAATAAGGTACTTATGTTATTCACACGTAGGCCTATTGGCGGGGCGGGCGGGGCATTCAATTTAAAATTTAAGGCTGTTCTTCTGTGCTTTTCTCAAGTCTGTGCTTTTGTACAATTCCATTCCACTGGAGCATTTACTCTATTTACTTGTATGAGTGTGCTACGTTCTGTACTAAATTCATTATTTTTCAAATACAACAGAAAATCAATGACCAATTTTAATATATCAGTGTAATTTATTTCTGATGTTTTTCTCCTGTCACCAAAATCAACAGGTACAGTGGACTACAAAAATATGGTCACACAACATGTAAATTAAGGGATCAGCAAAGAAATCCAAATCAGTTTTTTACTGTCCAAACAATTTTAGGTTTCGGCACATCAGAGTTGGTGGAACAGTATCATTCTTTCAGTGTAAAACAACTGAAAAATCTGTTTACTTTAAGAAAATGTAGACAGGCAGAAAGGGCCCATTAAATAACCCAGTAACAGGTTGATAATCACAGGCAATGACATTTAAGTTCAGTATATACAACATAATTATATATATGCAATAACAAGTATCATATAATAGTTTTAAACATAACTTAATGAAACAAATTCTTGAAAAATTGAAAAACCTCAACATTAAATAGCCGATTTTTAAGCCCATTCTCACACCAAGTGTTTCTTTGGCAGGTTCATTATTAACTTTTTTAAAATGCAATTTCCTTGAACAGATGTACACTTGGGTGCTGCCAGCAAACATAGCACTAATGAACACAAAGTATGGTAAATACCCTGTTTACATATTTTAAATTATTTGTTGAAACCTCTCTCTTTTTTCACTTTGTGTATGAATGTACATACTACATACAAGTAGAAGCAAAATTTTGCATGCAGAGTCAGATTAAGAATTATCACAGTGTGTCTAAGTTTGACACATCACATAAGTTACATGAACAATCCATTTACTATCACAATCTTATTACACAAAGGTAATAATTAATAGTTATAGATATTCTTAGTACATTAAAGACAAAAGTAAGGGCATGCTGCTCCCTTGCTTATACATCATACCAGTGGTCTATTATTACTCCTGAAAACTCATTGCTGTCTTTGTCACAAATCAAAGAACTTAAACTTTTTCTTCCCTCTTGGTGAGCTGCATGAGGGTATAGTGGATGCCACCAATCAAGAACCTGTATACTAGTTGCCGGATCTACAACTATATCTTGACTGTCAAAAGCAAGAGTTAGTTTGTTGGCCATCATATCTTGTGATACCGTAATAAGTGCTCTTTTTAAAGTTAGCCCATGAACGGCTGGTAGAGGGAGGTATTGTGGACTGGATACCTGAAGATTTAATGAAATTTTATGAAAACATTGGTTTCAAGACGTTCCAATTAAAAAAAAAAAAAGAATCAGAAATGTTGTACCTGAAGAACTTTAGAATATTTTTCATCATTAGTTGCCATATCTTGTTCCATTTCTAGCAATTTCTTATTATCTAAACTAAACAAGGATTGCCATCTCCCTTTGCGTACATTAATTTGTTTCAACTTAAACCAGTATGTCCAAACTTTTCCATTCTGTTCAGAAGAATAAACAAAACGTTTGTTTTGCAGTAATTTGAAAGTAAAATTGGAAAGATCATCAAGAAAATACTTACATTTGTGTACCAGGTATTAATACACTTTCTACGAAGAATTGGTTGTAGGTCACATTCTCTCCCAACTCTTGGTTTTAGTCTCTCTACAAATGGGGGGTAAATAAAAAATAATGATCTAATGACACAGGCTTTTAGACCACGTATTGTCATATTTTCAGGCTTCAGTCGTGCTGGTAAAAGTTGCAGATTTGATGGTTTGTAGTACCTGTAAAGATAACAAAATGTTTTGCTATAACAAATAAACTTTGAAAAGATTAAAAGCTAAAATGATCTACCTACCTCCTGTACAGTCCAAACCAAAATCTAGCACTATTGGTAACTTTTTGGGTGCTTCGGCAGATTGAAGCAAAATCTTTAACACCTTCAGGTAGAATGTGCTCGCCAATAGCAAACCAAATGTCCATGGGCAAAATAAGAAATGGCTTTGAAGAATCATTATCAGATTCTAAGGCTCTTGTCCTAGCTGAAATAATAAAATCATATTCATACTACTAACTATAAGAAAAGTTTTGATGATGGTCCAGCATTAGACAGGTTCCCACCTTTCAGATCGAAGTCTTCCACTGCGTCCCCCTCCTCCAAGCATTGCTGGCGTTGCTCCCATCGTAAGCCATCTTCTCTACCACCCTTGGCTAAATTCTCAACTAGAAAACAATACATATTACATGACATCAACGTGGCAGAAAACTTATGAAACAAAGTGCACCATAATCAAAAACTACCTGCTGAAATGGGTGTCGCCACGGATTTTGAAAGACGCCCCCTTCTGCCGGCCACATGAGCATTGGCGTAGTCATAAATACTGACATCTGCAACAAGCGAAACAAAAATGGGAAAAATTAAAATTATTGAGATAACAGGAAAACAATCGATGACCCTACGCCACCGACCGGTGGGCAATGGCCAGTGTCCGCCGGGTGGGCAAACATAACAGATGCCAGTGGTGTGCGATGGGTGGCCTACGTACGGGCGGCGGCAGCGCCAAGCAGGGCCTAGCAGGGTCCGCACCGGGGCCGGCCGTGCTTACTAAAGAGGCCTGCGACATACATGCTTCCCCCTCCCCTCCCCCGTCAAATATTGGGGCAGCGCGATGCGGCCCACTAGCCGAGCGTCACAATTACGGGCGTCGTTGTTGGTTGTCAGGGGGCGACAAAGTGCGTCCGATGAGTCTGCACTGACTAGATTAGATATGCCTGGATGTAATTGTAATATTGACTGGAGGGAGAGTCACTGCAGTGCACTGAAGGCGTGGGTCGCCAGCAGGCGGCTCGCGAGGCGAGGGGGCCGAAGAGAGGGGGAAAGCCTCGGGAAAAGCACCCAGCAGGTTGGCGGCTCGCGACAGGGTCAGCCAGGGGCCAGACTGCCTAAGGGCTTTTGGGGTGCGCTGACCACTGGCTGCAATAACCATCTGCAAGAGGGTCGGATTGGCGTAGCGTGGCGTGGTGAACAGGCACCCTCTCGCCTCCCGTTCCACAGGTTTTTTTTTTTTTTTTTTTTGCCCTCCTCCTACTTGCGCCCCGACCGCCGACAACAACAACAAACACCACGTACAGTGAGAGTCGAGTCGAGATACGTGCGAAGGAACGGTGAGGTGGGGCAGCTCCTCAGCCCGCAGCTCTCTGGTTCAACCTCCCCCTCTCTCTTGTGACTTAGGCGCGGCGACGACTGTGTGTCGAGAGGGGAAGGGGGGAGGGGTTAGCGCCATGGTGCCAAAAGCTCTCTATCCTCATAGCCTTCGCTGAGAGGCTCATCCCGCCAGGAGGACGGCCGTAGTCAGCAGTACCAGCAATATGGTAAACACCCACAGGCGAGCCTGGGCGGAGCTGAGGCGTGGAACTGGTAGAGATCGGCAACTTTCCGATTCGCACCGTTTGTTCCGCGCAACGAGATAAACAAAGGCGGGTCGCGCGGCAATATCACGCAGCCCAAAGGTGGGGACGGCCCGCCGCCGTATCGCAAACCCCACCAAGACAAATAATAAAAACAACAAAAACAGACAAGTCATAGAGAAAGAGAGAAATAAAAGATTCCACTCCACAAACCGGCCACGCCAAGGATCCGTGGTCGCGGGGTTCTCAACTGTATGCTTGACGTCATTCCTCGATCATCAAACCCACTCCCCAAACAAGCGGCGAGTGACTCGACCCGACGAGCTAGCAGCCACACCTGACAAGGAGCCTAACCGATAAAAAGAATCAAATAATCGCGTCAAACATACATGGACGGAAAACAAAGTACGCCGCGTTTGAAGCGAATCAAAACCAGCAAAGCATCCGCGCAGTCGTGTAATATCAACTAGACGAGTGTGGGTATGAGGCTACGCGATGAGCACCAGAGCAGCCTTGAAAAGGTGCCGCGCGCAATCTATCAGTACTTTTTGGATGTGGAGCGAAGGCGATTTAAATGTCGACTTATCAGCGGGCCTGGCCGGCGGCATCTGCCGCGGCGCTGGCCGGCCTTCCCGCTTCGCGCCGGGCTAGAGAGGCGGGTGACTTTGAAAGCTTTTGTTTTGAAAAGAGCGAGTGGTCCGATACGGCCCGGCACGGCGTGGTGGTACTCATTATCAACCGCACAACCAAAACACCGCGCCCGCCCCGCCGCGGGCACCCGTACAGAAAAAAGGAGATCTAGATTGTCTCCGGCCGAGACAACTTAGAGACAGATTGAAGACAACATGCAGACTGCTACGAGACATTCTGGAGATAAAATTGGAGTCACCCGGGAGTCACCGTAGAGCTGTGTAGGAGACATCGTAGAGTCATCGGCGGTGTCTCGTAGGTGTATCCATAAAGTCTCGAAAAGGAGTCTGCCTCGAGGCAATGCCGAGACATTTCTCCGGAGACACCGTAGAGCCATTTTCGAGACGTCGTACTGGAGACATTCTGGAGTCATGTCCGGAGACATTTTGACGTCAGAGGCGAGACCTGTGGGAGGCACCGTGGAGACATTCTAGAGACAGCGCGCAGCAGAAATCAGTGAAAACGAAATGGGCGGGCGCGCCGCAGCGCGCCGCCAGTCCGACTCGAACCGAGAACTACTCGCACCAGAGTCGGGTGCTGTATCCACTAGGCCACAGTGATCACATGAGGGGAGCGAGGCGGAACACCGAGCAGTAGCTGACCAGCCTGTGTCTCCGAGGTGCCTCGTCCGCCAGTCACCGCTAGTGCTCGGTGTTCCGCCTCGCTCCCCTCATGTGTTCACTGTGGCCTAGTGGATACAGCACCCGACTCCGGTGCGAGAAGTTCTCGGTTCGAGTCGGACTGGCGGCGCGCTGCGGCGCGCCCGCCCGTTTCGTTTTCACTGATTTCTGCTGCGCGCTGTCTCTAGAATGTCTCCACGGTGCCTCCCACAGGTCTCGCTTCTGACGTCAAAATGTCTCCGGACATGACTCCAGAATGTCTCCAGTACGACGTCTCGAAAATGGCTCTACGGTGTCTCCGGAGAAATGTCTCGGCATTGCCTCGAGGCAGACTCCTTTTCGAGACTTTATGGATACACCTACGAGACACCGCCGATGACTCTACGATGTCTCCTACACAGCTCTACGGTGACTCCCGGGTGACTCCAATTTTATCTCCAGAATGTCTCGTAGCAGTCTGCATGTTGTCTTCAATCTGTCTCTAAGTTGTCTCGGCTGGAGACATTCTAGATCTCCTTTTTTCTGTACGGG